TTTGGCCAAGGAATAAATAGGCAAACTAGGAAAATAACTAGGGAATTCACTGCCGCAACCGAATGTGTTCAAACAATGCATATACGACAATCGGTTCCATAGCAAAGGTTATAACAGAGCATGAAAAGTAGTTGACGAGGTAGGGATAATAAGCTTAATGATGATAGAAACCATTTCCAGTGAGCAAATATAGAAAGAAAAACAATACCAGCTGAGAAAGCCTGATACATTTCATGGCGGAAGGAAAGTAGAGATCAGACAGCTTGGCTAATGTAAATTCGAAGCAATGGTGTATATACCATAGTCAAAAGTGAAGCCTATTCAGCCTGAAGGCGAGACGACAGCAAGACATTAAGTGAAATTAACTAGTTGACAACTGCAAATGGAGAGAAATACAGCCATACAGACAAGTAGGGAAAACGTCAATTGAGAGGCTTAGCTCTCGGGCCAACTTCCAGAGATCTAGCTGTGGCAAAATTCTCATGAATAAATTCATCATAGCAATAAGATCGGATTCTAAATTTTTCGTCCATAGGCCAATTGAAGACCCTCGCCTAATCCAGTATTATAAGCCAATCCACCTCAGTCGTGAGAAAAAATAGAATAGGAATCAGCATCATTAGCCTTCCAAGTGAACCCGAAACCTTTCAAAATGATCGTATGAAGCCTAGCAAGTATCGATGTGACTGTCAAGCACTCGGTGAAAGAGGGCCAGCCGATTCATTTCGGATAGTGGCTTAAAACAAATTCAAAGCTCAGAACAGCAAACTCCCTAAAGTATCCAACAGGCTAAATGAGATAGACTCGCGATATTGATTAAAACAAAACGAAGCAGAATGACTATTTCAGTCGGTTAGTTACGTGCCATTTTTATTAAGGCCCAAAAGTTCACTCATCATGGGGTGATGATAAAAATAAGGGAAGTACAGAGTTAATGATAAGCCTTAATACGCATAAGCCAAAAGGAATAGAATTATCGAGACGTAAGGAATAAAGTTTCTAACTAAGAAGTTAAATTCAAAATTAGCAAAAGGAAAATATCTTCAAAATATAGCAGTTTTGAAAACAATAAATAAATAAGGCAATAACACTATTGGTTGGACAAAATGGCTAGACTGTAAAGTTCCGCAGTTGCAAAAATATTAAATGAGGGCATTTGAGAAGCATATAAAACAGGAATTCAATAGGTAATTTACAGGGTAAGATAAAGAGTGCTCAAAAAATTACATATTTACCAGTCTATGTATGTCGTTGAGCATAAAAGGTGGAAATTTCAATTTACCAACTTAATACCTGTGCGTGAAGAAATTAAGGGAGTAACAGATAAGAAAAATGAGCATTATTTATAACACGTAATCAGCTTCCGAATGGGTAGGATGTAATAAGCAAATAATAGCGTTGAAGGCGTAATTAAGAACAGTAAAAACTTGCGGCGAAGTAAACAGGATGTAAATAATTGTCCGGACGGTTTACGCGAACTAAGACGAATTAATATAGATAGCGGTAATCTCAAGTAAAAAACGAGACAAGGAAGGTCAAACTATAATAGGCTTCATTGCTGTAGGCCATGATCAAGCAGATAAAGGCGGGAGTAAATAAATTTAAAGTAATAATAATGGAGAGAGCATACGGAAGAGCTGCGTCGCTTGTAATTGACACTTCTTGAAATTTAAAATAGCTAGGATCCGAAAGCGCTTTTATAGCCAGTAATACAGGATGTATTCAGGACTCGAAATTGTTGTTATTTCATCTGTTCTTTTTTAACGACAAGGCCCAAAGACTAAGAAGCTTCATACCAAAATATAAGCAGAAGCCGTGAATTTGTACACATAATGAGAAGAATATATAAATCATGACTATGAGAGGAAAGCCATAGAATTTATGTCTGGCTCTTTTAGTGTAATAGAAGTCTATTATATCATAGGCCTTCTGAAAGCAACCAACGAGCACAGGGCCAAATCCAAAAATTAAAAGACCAATCAAAGACGTCTGCATTAA